AGGAATAGGCACGAAATCCATCGTTGCCAGGGTTTACTCAACGAGCACTAAATCCATAGTTGTCGGGGTTTACTCAGCAGGCACTAAATCCATAGCTGCCAGGGCTATTTCGTTTATCAACAGTATCGTTTCCGAGAATCCACTCGCAATACATGTCAATGGGTTTTTAGAGTACACCGGTGAACACATCGTTCACAACACCTACAGGTTGCGAGCCTGCTAGTGTTCCACTGGACTGTCTAGAATAGTCCGTGGTTGTCATCCATACTCTGCTAGATGACGGGGCCAGCATTTGGGAATAAGGCTTCTCACATCGTCCACCTCTCACCCTTACCCCATGGTCTATATCACCTCTCAACTCATCATCCAACTCATATTTCATCTACCCATGTTTTACCCAACATATTATGTAGATATAAAATACATATACAGTTTAAATCATTTAAAACATGTATAAAATTGTTCATCCAGCATAGATAGCAAGTATACAAATAATATTCACACATAGCACGTAATTTATATTAAATACTTCATATCTATGTGTAAGATGAAAGTAACTATGCACTCACCTGAAAAGGTGGTGATTCTGCCTTCGAACAGCGCTTCGTTATCTCAAAACAATTATCCCTCGATAAAACCTAGTATCAATATCACTAGGGTTTAGTCTAACGTTAACCGCGACTAATTAATAGTCTAGCTATTATTACTATTATATAAGCGTTAAACGATACTTATATAACTCATAATAATAGCCCAAGTACTTATTATAAGGTCCTAATAACATTACTATATTAAAACATAAGCTATACTAAAGATAGGTTAGGCGTAGCTCACTTACAGCGGGTTTTTCTCAAAACCGGGCTTCGCTGGAGCAGCGTTTCCGAGCCGAAAGGCTCTTTTCTCGGGACTCCGGGAGCCTCGGGGCTTCCTTCGGATGCTAGGGGGTTTACCTAGACTTTAGGGGGGCTTAGGGAGCTTAGAGAGAGAGTGTAGAGAGAGAAAGAGAAGTTGGAAGGTGTGAGAAATGAGGGTGCCCCGACTCCCTTTTTATAGGCTGGAAATGCCAAAAACTCGTCGAGTTCAAGGCCAGGTGTCACCATCTGGTGGCTAGCCTTGGGGAGGAAGCAATGGCCAGGATTGCGCCACGTCACCCGATTTCGCACAGCAGCCTCCCGACTTAGAAAAATCATAACTCTCGCATACGAGCTCCGTTTTTGACGTTCTTTTTTTCCACGCGTAGGTAAAAACAAGATCTACAACTTTCACTTAGACTCCGTCGGCTAATTCTCGACCGATCTTAAATTTAACAGTAGGAGGAGATTAGACTGTTAAATGACTGCGAAGAATTCGTAACTCCTTCATACGGACTCCGTTTTCGTCTGTCTTTTTATCGTTGAGTTCCTATTAGTGAGATCTTCAACTCTCATTTAGGTCGCGTAGGCCAAAAACCGCTCAAACTAAAATTCGAGTTTCGGGCCGTGCAGTGCTATGCCAAATCTTAGAAAATTCATAACTTCCTCATACGAAGTCAGATTTGGGCGTTCTTTTTATGGATGTTCTCGGTTTAACATATTCTACAACTTTCATTCAGATTGCTAATGCTAAAAAATCACTCTATCGTAAATTCACTATTTACGTCTCCCGGTGCCGTGCCAGTTTTGCCGTAAAACTTCGACGAGCCATAAGTTCTTCGTTATAACTCGGATTTCGGCGTTCTTTATATGTACGGAACCCTTGAGACATATTCTACAACTTAGTTAAGATTATTTATTCCAAATAATCTTTTGTCGAAAAGTCGTTTTCGACCCCTATTATCTCTAAATTGACTAGCCCGGATCTACGGGCGTTACATGAATGGTCATTAAGGAATATTATCTAGGAACTTAGGATCACATTGTCTTGTCACTTATAGTATGTCCTAATTTTGTCACAATCTCTCGTGTTTAAGTGGACCACAATACCGGCGATTGACTAGATCTATTCATGAAGAGAGAGGTACCGATAAACGGATAAAGGCTGTCTAAAAAACTTTGATCCCAAATCACTCTTAAAGTTAGATATCATTTTAATTTTTGTTAAATTTGTTCATAGTTCTCTTCTAATTTAAATATTAGGGGAGAATTAAAAAATTTGAAAACCAAACAAAAAAAAAATTAAAAATATTTCTGTTTTATTTCTTTTTCAGAAAATATGAAAAACCCAAAAATATTGTGTGCTAAATTTTCTTTTAGTTTTGTTTTGTCTTGAAAAGTGAATTCAGGTGAAGATGAAACTCATGGAGTTTGTGTCGAAGATTTCTGAGCCAAGGCTTCATCCGTGATCATCGAAGAATTCTCATTCGAAGGAGCAAGAAATGAAGATTATTCTTTTGACATTCAATCTTTCAACCCCAGAAGCAAGGTGAAGCTGAAATTGAAGATTATGTGACGGCTTGCATTGAAGCCTCCTCAATCAGTCTGCTGCTATCTTGAACCTGCTGAAGTGATCCAGAAGATTTGTTCTCTCTGATGTTCTCTCTGAAGATTCTCAAGCTGAAAGTGCTATCTTTCAAGAATCAGTACATCAAGCCTCCTCACCCAATGTGCATTCAGAGTCAAATCTTGAAGAAATGCCCAACTGCTCAAGATGAAGTCAAGTATTGAAGATTCATCATGTTCATCTTGAAGCTGTGAAGAAATTGAAGATAAATGCTGAAGCCAAGCTCCCAATGAAGATTATCAAGAAAAGCAAGCTACTTTTTAAGGGGAGCTTGTTGGGTCATTTAAGAAAAAGAAAGCTATAAACCAAGGTGGAGATTATTGGATCAAAATATTGGTTTATACTTTGCTTTTCTAGTTGATTGTATTTTTCTGTAATGTTTTATGAGTTTACGGTCAGGTTTACGGCCAGGTGGGTGTTTACGGCCGTAAACCCTGTTTACGGCCCAATGGGTGTTTACGGCCGTAAATCCATTTACGGTCGTAAACCCATTTATGGCCCATATTCCCCAAGTATATATATATATATATATATATTATATATATATATATATATATATATATATAGGTGTTAGGTGGTTGAGGAGGGATTGATTAACAGAAAAAGAGTGTACGGAATAGAGAGAAGAGAGGAGTTTTAGTGTGTGTAAGTGTGTGAATCTTGTGTAAGGGAATTTCATTCTAATCAATACATTCAAGATTCATCATCTTCTTCTTCTTCTTCTCTTCTATTTGATCTGACATCATCCAATTGATTGAGATTTCGCACCATCAATTGGATCTGATTGATACACAAGCAGATTAGGGACTTACAATATCAATTTCGTTAATGAATTTACCTTTTAATTTCAAAATTCCAAAATGAAAAGCTCATTAGTTTCTTTTATTTATTTAGATTATTTGTTTAAATTTAAAAGATAAAAAAAACATTTCCATTATAACAATTCATTATTTAACTTTTTTTTAAAAAAAAAAATTAATCCATGTAATACATGTGTCTCACAACTAGTTAAATATAATAAAACTGATAAATAACGAAAAACATGATAGGATATAAAATTAAATTTTAATCAAATAAAGATAAATTGTATATAAATATATATGTCATTTGGTTAAAAAATATATGATATTTTTTAAATTAAGTATTTATTGATTTTTTTTTAACTTGTTAAACAAAATACATATAATTTAAAGCATACTTAATTTATCAACATGACCATTTATAGAAACTTTACAAAAATCATTTTATTTTAGATAACTATCACTATTGTCATCATATTTTAGAAACTTTACAAAAGTTACTATATTTTGGATAACTCAAATAGCTATCACAAAAGTTATTATACTTTAGATTTTTTTTTTCAATTTTTACCTTCAGAATATGATATCACAAAATAGTCTCCATGTCATACCATGTCAGCATTTCTCGTTCACCGGCATCTTGCATCATATGGCAACATGGTTGAGTAGTTAGAATTGTAACAATATGTTAAAACAAAGTGTCCAGATTGAGGGGAAAAAACTTAGTGTCAAAATCAATGTTTTTTGAATTTACCCTTAAATTAATGTCGAAAACATTTCAAAATTATACATAGTAGAATGGTAATAGATCTTGAGCAGATTAGGGTAGGTCCATTTACGTTGTGTTTTCGGGACGTTTTTCAGGAGAGAAGCGAAAAAAAATGGAAAATAAAGAAAATCATGTTTACTTCTTACTTTTTTTATTTTTTGAAAAAAAAGAAATGTCTAATTTTTAAAATAAAGGAATTTGGAGAAAAATAATCTACTACAAATATAAAATTTTATCGTTATCAATTTCACCTTTCATAATCACGATTTCTTAACGCATCTCAAATACGTTTGCTCTCCATCATTAGAAGAGTCCAAAATCATGGTTTTCCTTTCTTTTCTTTCAAACTCAAACTCACATAAATACAATATATCTTTCTATTTTACTCTATTTCTTTCCCCTCTTTTTCTTTATTAAACTCAAAAACACAAAGGTTAGTTTGCTTGTCCTATGAAGATCCAGGCCTCATAATACTTCCCTACCCGAAAAGACTCGTCCTCGAGAGTCTTCGTCATCTCCCAAGGTTTAAGTTTTCTGTCATAATTTTTGAGATATAAACTTTTTTACTAAGTGTTCGGTGCAACATGGTGTTTATCGTAATTTTTACAATAATAGATGAAGACTATACTTGCATTGCAGACCTCACTTTTGGTTCAAGGACTTTCAATGAAATCAGCAACATAAAGCGACTTAAAATGTGAATCATGTTTTTGATACGACGATGACTTCATCAAAATCAACAAAAGAGTAATAAAGCAAAATATGATAACTTTTCAAAGTTGAAGCCTTTTTCCCCTCTCAACGACTAGATTATAACTTGGACGAAAAATACATTTCCATTTTATGCAATTAAAATTAGAGGTTGTGACTTGTGAAGTTATAACTTGTACGAAAAAAAAACTTTTTTCATTTTAAGCAATTAAATGTCACAATGCTTCCGAAAACAAACAGCATAGCATCTGACACAGAAACTTTAGAATTAATCAAATATAAACAACAAATGTTACAAAAGACACAAGTTTTTACAAGAATTATTCCAGCAAATTGCCCTTTAGAGGGCTAAATGTTTTTTTTTTTTTTAAAACTTAAAAAGACTAGTTACGATGTACATAGGAACATGAACATGATACAAATGCATTCAAGGGTCGGCTTTTCCAGCTACTTCTTCATCACTAGACGCGTATTCAGCTTCACTCAGTTCCTCATCACTCGATTGCTCTTCAGGCACAGCTCCAGCATCCTCTGGCTTTGCATATCTCTCACAGTACTCTGATAACAAATTAAACACAAATCTTCAATTCACCCACTTTCAATTTTATTTTTAGGGACCCTACTATTATAGTTTATACGTATGCCTATAATCTATATTATAATTACAGTTTTACCCTTTGTCATCGTAATGTACTCTTTCGATTTAAGGCAAAATACCCTCGATCATTAGAGACCAAAAATCAATACTATCAGCATTTGTTAATTATGGGAAGATTTCAGCTCAATTGATTTTCTACTTACCTTTAACTTTTTGTTCATATGCAGTTCTGTCTCGCATCATTAGTGCTGCAGCATCTCCATTTAAGGGATCAGATGGATTCGGGTACAAAAGAAGCTGAGGAAGAAAAACTTCAAACACGTTCACAAGATCTGCATATTGGAGACAATAATTCATTAATCACCAAAAGAAAATTGAAAATTGTAAAATAGAACACATAACAATGGTGATAAGTTGATTTACCAAACATCGGGCTCCATGTCTGATTAATAACATCTAAACAAACCGATCCCGACCTGCAAAAAGTCACATTTGTTGTTGACAACAATGAATTTTTGGCAAACCACTGTAATTAGATCTAAAGAAGCTCACATTTCATCCACATTTGGATGGTAGATTTTGTTGATGAAACCAATTGAAGGAGATTTGTATGGATATGCATCCGGAAGCTCCACCCTTATTCTCCAAACACCTCCATCATAAGGACCTGACACGTCATCAATGGTCAAGAATTAACTAATCTTTTATTGCAGTTTTGACAATTAATCACAAATTTCGGGAAGTGGGATAGTCATGTAAAGAGAAAGAACTCAAGATTATATCAGCATTATGATTAATTTGCAAGGGACAAAAGATCACACGAACACAATGTTCACATGACTCAACAAAAACACACAATATTTACATGGTTCAACAATTTGCGTACATCCAACTTGGTTACAAAGAGTACGCTAGAAAAACAAGGCATCAAAAATCGTCATAACCATTTTGTAAAAAATTTGATGGAGCGATTGTCTAAATCATAGTCCAATTTGCATAACAAAAAGATATTGTATCAACATAACAGTAATGTTAAGTGTATAATGAGACAAAGGACCCATATTTTAATCCCTGATCATTGCGAATTTGGGAAAGTGGAATCGAATTGATAAATAAAGAACATAAAACACATAAATTCCTGAAGGGATTCAATTAGGTTCATTTAACCCAACACTGAGAACACAAACTTCTGGGGTTTCAACTATGCGAGCAACATGTCAACACAATGGAATAACAGAACCAAAAGTAACATGATATACCCACAAAGATAACATTTTTTTTTTCATCTACTTTATGTTCAGATGAATACCCATAAAGTTTTACAATCAAATCAACTGAAAAATAAGGAGATTTTCGTTCATATATATCAGAAAAGCAAAATAATAGCAGAAACAGATGGATATGAAACGTACTGTCTTTTGGTCCATGAAACTGCACATAAAACTCTTGCATACCATCATTGATCATATCTACTTTATAATCACCCATCATCCTAATTCACGAGATGAATCAGAAAGAAAAAAAAAAAAAAAAAGCAATAAGTTGAGATTCTTGAACAAATATACCCAGAGGAAAAAAATAAAAGTAAAAGAAATTTAAGCGGTTGAATTCGTTGAATTACAGCTTCATCAAATCCATCTCCCGTCGCTTGCTCGGTGAAGACATTTTTTTAGTTAATAGGAATATAAGATATGATTTATTGGTTTGTTAGTGATTTTGATGAAAGTAATTTGCAGATTGAGGATGTGTTTTGAGTGTTTTGGGTGGTGGATGGCGTGCGGGGAAGAGAGATGAGGATTCTTTGAGAAAGAGAGAAAAATGAAGGCGGTTCAGACAATCAATGAGTGAAAGCAGGACTGAGTAGATTCTTTTTTAATCTCCAAAGAAGCATACGATCAGATCATCACTTTGTCGATAAAATAATAAAAGGATTTTTTTTTTTTAAATCTAAAAATAAACAGAGATAAAGTCACCGCTACGTTTATATGAATTTTTTTTTTTCAAAATATATTTTGCAAAAACAAACAATATTTTTTAATTACATGATTACACCTAAATTACTTCTGCTAGGGACATAGGTAGTATTTAGGAATACGTTAATTTATGGTTAAAAAAAATAAAAAGATTACGCCTAAAATCTGAAGCTGAGTATGTGTTTGAAGCATATCAAAATTGTTATATCTGTCTTCGTATGTTTACGCCAAAAGTTCTAACTAGGGGTGAGCAAAAACCGAACCGACTAAAGAAAAACCGACAAAACCGCAATAAACCGCAACCGAAAAACCGAAACCGATGCAAAAACCAATGGTGCGGATTTAATTTTTGCAAAAACCGAAGGTCAACGGTTCAGTGCGGTTTCTATCCAAAAAATCGGTCCACCAAAACCGAACCGTACCGCAAGCATGCATAGTAATAAATCAATCAATGTATATTATATACATGCTATTTAAAATACTTATAAACGATAATATATTTATTATATGTTTATTTTGTGTTTGTGTAAGACTATATGGGTGCAAAAGAAATGTTCTATTGTTAGCTAAATGTACGAATGGATTACACGTAATAAGCTTAAAACACGTTGTATTTTCCTGATTTGCAATGGTACAATTTGCTATCAATATATACAAAGAGCCTATCTCTATTTATGAGATTTATATCAACAATAAAAGTGAATAATCTACTTTCTATAACAAACCTTCCTCATATTGAGGAAGGGAATAATCATCGGCTAATATACCCTCGCAGTCGAATCGGGAGAATGACGAACGTTGAGACTGTTTTTGAAGTCTTCAAAGAGGACGAGAGGTAGACCCTTAGTGAAGATATCCGCAACTTGATAACGAGAAGGAATGTGAAAAAATACGAACTTGACCATGTGCTACTTTCTCCCGAACGAAATGAATATCGAGCTCTATGTGCTTGGTACGTTGGTGTTGAACTGGGTTACGTGATAGGTAGACGGCGCTAACATTGTCGCAGTATACCAACGTGGCTGTAGTTTGCGGAATACTAAGCTCAAGCATTAAGTTTCGAATCCAACATGTCTCGGATACTACATTTGCGACTCCCCTATATTCCGCTTCTGCGCTTGATCGTTAGAGTGTTGGCTGGCGTTTGGAGGACCATGAAATGAGGTTGTCTCCTAGATAGACACAATAACCCGATGTGGAACGTCTTGTGTCCGGACAACCTGCCCAATCATCGTCTGTATAGGCTAGAAGTTTCTTGGATGGTGATTTTGTGAGTAGTAACCCATGAGTGATTGTACCTTTGATGTACCGTAAAATGCGTTTTAGAGCATTGAAATGCGATGTGCGAGGAGCATGCATGTGTACGCAAATTTGTTGAACGACATAGCTGATATCTGGTCGGGTGAAAGTCAAATATTGGAGGGCCCCGGCAAGTTGACGATATTGTGCACCCCCGTCAGGTAGCGGAGTACCATCGTTGTTGCTTAATTTTGCCTTGCTATCAACCGGCGTGGAGGAAGGGTGGCAAGAACTCATTCCCGCCCTTTCGAGAATTTCGTTGGCATATTTTTGCTGTGATAAGAAAAGCGAGTCTTTTCGGTGGGTTACGGATATGCCAAGAAAATAGTTGAGGGGTCCGAGGTCCTTCATTGCGAACTCTTTTGCTAACAATGCGATAAACTCATGGCGAAGGTGAGGTGATGAGGTAATAAGCAGGATATCATCGACATAAAGGAGTAGGAATGCCGTGTGGGTACCCTTTTTGTAGACAAATAACGAATGGTCACATTTGCTATGTTTGAAGCCCAATTTGGAGACATAATCAGCAAATCGTTGATACCAAGCCCGTGGTGCTTGTTTGAGGCCGTATAGAGACTTTTTGAGTAAACATACATGATTCGGGAGTGAGCGGTCTTGAAATCCAGGTGGTTGATGCATGTAGACCATTTCGTGAAGTTGTCCGTGGAGAAAAGCATTTTCACGTTTGGTTGGTGAATTTGCCACTCATTCGAAAGAGCTATGGATAGGACCGTACGGATTGTTGCCGGTTTGACCATAGGGCTGAAGGTATCTCCACAATCGATGCCTTCTTTTTGAGACCTGCCATCACACACCAAACGAGCTTTGTATCGCTCTAAAGAACCATCAGATTTAGTTTTATGACGAAAAATCCACATACTTCACACTATGTTCATATGGTGAGTTCTTGGGACTAACTCCCACGTGTTATTATCAATAAGGGCCTGGAATTTGTCGGTCATGGCACGTTTCCAATCCGGGTTTTTGAGAGAATCAAGAGGGTTTCGAGGTAAATGAGAAATAGAACTGGAGGTATGGAGACTGTAATGTTGTTTCGGTTTTGAAATACCCGACATACTTCGGGTATGAATGGTGCGAGTAATGGCAGGAGCGGTTTGCGAAGACAAAATAGGAGTTTGGGCAATTTGTGGTTGTGTTTGTGAGTAAGAGGTAGACCGGGGACGACGAGAGTAGCTAATGAGAAGAGGTGGGGAGGGTTTGTTTGGGAAGGGATCTCAGTTGGTTGGGTGGGGGGAGGTTCGTTGTTCCCTTGCGAATTTTGGGTGCACCAGAGGAGTGGGTGTGGGTCCGATGATGAGAGGGTGTGAGAGGAAGGTTTTGGAGAAGATAGTTTTGAGTAAGGAAAATTTGTCTCATCAAATATAACATGTCGGGAGAGAATAATGGTTCGGGTTTTGAGGTCAAAGCATTTATAACCTCGGTGATTAGTTGGGTGACCCAAGAAAACGCAAGGTTGGGAGCGTTGTTGTATTTTATGGATTGTGACAGATGGGGTGAGGGGGTAACATAAGCATCCAAATATACGGAGATGGGTGTATGTGGGTTCGAGATTATAAAGAAGATGTGTAGGGGTGAGGTTTGCAAGAAGTTTGCTAGGAAGGATGTTTAGGAGATATGTTGTATGTTGGAGGGCATGATGCCAAAAATTAGATGGCACATTGGAGTGAGTGAGAAGAGTTCGAAGGATGTTATATATGGATCGTATTTTGCGTTCCGCTTTTCCATTTTGAGGTGATGTGTATGGTCGAGAGAATCTGAATTGGATTCCATTTTGTGAACAAAAAGTGTGAAAGTTTTGATTGTCAAATTCTCGGCCATTGTCACATTGTATGGTTTTAATAGTGCGGTGAAATTGAGTTTTGATCATGGAAAAGAATTGAAGAAAAATAGAAAAGACTTGGGACTTTTTCGCAAGAGGATATGTCCACATGAAGTTTGTTTTGTCATCTAGAAATAAAATATAATATCTATGACCACTTGAACTTGGTATGGGTGAGGTCCATAAATTTGTGTGAATAATATCAAAAGGTAAATGAGTAATAGATGTAGAATTAGAAAAGGGAAGTTTTATTTGTTTACCCAACACACAAGATTAACAAATAGAAGATAAATGTTTAGAACTAGGAAAATGTAAACTAGAACGTAAAGAAGATAAAACATCTGCGCCCGGGTGTCCAAGGCGATGATGCCATAAATCTTTGGTTATTGCAGCAAAAACAGATGGTTGTGTGACTTGGGAGGCAGACTGGAGAGTGAACGGGTAAAGATCGCCATTGTTATTGCATCGAAGGAATGGAGTCCGCATCAGGAAGTCCTTCACATCAAAACCGAATGGGTCAAATTCAACAGAAACATTGTTGTCAGTTGTAAAACGACGAATAGATAAAAGGTTTTTCATAACATTAGGAGTGTGAAGAACATTTTTTAGATGTAAAGGAGGAAGAGGATAAGGTAGAGTTTGATGACCTGTACCATGGATTGGAATAGTAGAGCCATTACCAACGACTACGTTCCGAAAAATACCATTATTGACATAAGACGTGAAGTTACCTGAGTGGTTAGTCATGTGAGATGTTGCTACGGTGTCGGCATACCAGGTTTGATCCGGTGGGTGCATTGTCATGGTGTGAAATGCTTGCTCGAGATCTATTGGTGTGTAGTTGGCTTCAGATGCAGCATAAGCTTGTTGAGGACGGTTTCCCAAAATACCAGGGCCAGGTGAAGGTGGTCTGAATTGTTGAGTTGGGTATGGACAGGGAGGGTAAGCCCATGGTGTGTAGTTGGGATATGCCCATGATGGCGGTGTAGACCATGGTTGAGAGGGACGGGAACCCCGGTTATATGTTTGTTGTGGAGGATTGTGGTGGGTATTGCGTCCTTTTCCACTCGAAAACCGTCCACGGCCTCGTCCGTTTCGTCCTCGTCCACGCCCACGACTGTAGTCTGTTGATTGATGTTGTTGGACATTGTCTGATTGGTGGAATCGGTTGTGATTGTTGGGGTTTGAATGAGAGCCAACAGTTGTTGAAACAGATAGGGCTGTGGCAGAAGTGCCATTTGTGACAGCAGAAGCAACAGCTTGATGAACTTTTCGGGATTCCTCCATGACAAGTTTGGACCGAACTTCATAAAAGTCAGGCAATGGGGTTGTTTGTTGGATGAGCATGGCCAGCCCTTCATAGCTTTCATTGAGGCCGGCAATGACCTGTAGAACAAGGCGTTGATTAGAGACTGGATTGCCGACATTTGCTAGTTGGTCAGCTAACATCTTCATAGCTTGACAGTAAGAAGAGATGTTGGGATGGTGATCAAGTCTCATGGAGACGAATTTACTGTCAAGGTAGACAGCTCGGGTGCTTTGGTTGTCTTGAAAAATGTTTTCAAGGGTAGTCCAAGCTTGCGATGCAGAGGTGTTAGGTTTCATAATGGTGTGTAGAAGATCATTTGAAATGGTCCCATATATCCATTGGAGGACGATGGCGTCAAGACGTGACCATGTTTCATATTCTGCAGTAGCTTTGGTTTTCTCGGCCTCAGTAGCTGTAGCAGAAGATGGAGTAGCAGAAGGTGGCTTGAAGTCAGAGTCG